TGGAAAAGGAATGTTTTCTCCGTAATCATGGGGGACATTATAATGCAGTATGATGGCGGTCTAAGTAAATATAGAGTTTCGCAGTATACCTTCCGTCTGAAAACATCACACGAAGGGTGTCAAGGAATTAAACTGATGCATTTTGTGTGGTGTAATCCGGAGGGAAGAAATATTGGCGTGGTATTAACCGATTGTTGCGAAAAAAATCTGACCATGAACACAGCTTGGGAAAGCATAAATTTATCAATGCAACCATTGCTAACATCATGAAATCAGTACCGCCTAGCAAGCGAAAGGTCGATCATATTCAGCAACTTCCAACTCATAATGTCGAAACATCATGAGTGCAAGGCTTTTCTTGCTTATATCAAATAAGAGTTCATACCAACGCGCTGGTGGCGCAATTCATTGAGACAGCCATTCTGGCAGCCGTCCATCACCGACCTTTACCTTATCTTTCCTTCCAAATATCGAAATGTCTGTCGAGGTTTGGCGCCTGTAATTGCACTTTAAGTGTAGGTACTTCCTGACTGCACATGATACATTTTCCGTTGGCCATCTCCACGGAAACTGTGTCATATGCGCACTCCATTCTAGTTTACACGTGTCAGCCCACGCTATTCTGCATAAGTCTGAATGTCCTTCTGTTGTCTGGTCTTTTCTTATGGGTACTTTCTTCCTTGTCTTTTTTATTTTTAAAAATTATGTCAGGTGATTAGAAGGTAATAACCTTTTACATGGGGTCGCAATTTTAGTGGCCGAAATCCGGAAGAAAAGGGGCTGGGATGCGTTCGGTCAGCCTTATCGCCTGAGCCGTCCCCCAACTGATTTAAACAAGTAACACTCCTGCTGGAGACTGAATGACCCGCACAGAACCCGCTTCTCAAGGGGCGCAACAATGGCCCAGGTGGAACCGCACCGATCAGGAGGGTCAGAACAAAGTCAGGCGCGGTACCACAACCTCACAGAACGAGATCAGTCAGACCAGGGAGCTTGGCCAACGAGCTCCTGAAAGAAAAATGACCTCGCACTGCCTTGCATTGCCCCCGATCTGACGAATTCATAAGCAGGCGCGGTCTCTATTGAACCGCTTCCACAACGGCAAGGGATTGTCAGTTGATACACTATCAGATCACTGAATACAGAACGTGGCCCATATGCACATACGACAACGGTGTTAACTGATGCAACGCGGACTCGCACGGAAGCTGAGCTCGACATGCTGACGCGCAAGCCTGTCCATTTTGCAGCACGTTTCAGCAACTATATAGTCAACTCTTGACATATGGCTCCCTTGAAAATGGAATGTTTGCTAATAATATTGGTTTGCCACCTCCAGAACGATTCTTGCCATACCATCGTGTACAAATTTCTGAGAAGCGCCCCCCCCCCCCGTTTCATGCAGTATCATAGGGATCATGCTAATTTTATGGGGGGGGGGGGGGAGTAGCTGCCACTGAACCGCCTGAGTTGCCCTCCTTCCCCTGGACCCGGGCGGGGTCGATGGGGTACTCCGTAAAGGAGGCGAATACCGTGGATTGTGTGCAATTTTAATACGGGCTAGATGCTTTATGACGAGCAATGCACTCGTTATTCAACCCACAAAAATTTCCAGGGGATATTTGGTGTATTGCAAGCAGAAGCATTTCCTATAAGTCAGCTGTTGTGACAGTAATAACTGACGGCATAGGTACGCCCTCAATGCAGCACGTGTATCCATTGGCGGTAATGTACACGCTTCCGATGACGACAATAACACATAGAGTGGCCTTTTCATCACAAGCCATTTAAAGATTTTATGTATTATATCATGTCTAGACCCGGATCATCAGTAAGACAAGTACTGGTTCACGCCAGATGCACCAATGGTACATCGTCAAATGCAGCTGTGGAAGAAATTAGGCGAGCCATTACCTATGCTGCAGTGAAAAAGCAGCATATGAACCCAGCAGTACCCACTCACTCTAGGAGATTAAATGTCCGCAAGCTTTCTCTCAATGAGGTTGCACTGGCAGCCATTATGAGTACATCCCCCCCCCCCCCTGGGACTGACGAAAACAACAGAAGGAAGAAAACGGAAGTCTAACCAGAAAAGGGTAAACAGGAGATGGTATTCAAATGCAGATATGATAAGACTTCCCAGGATGGAAACATAAACTCGAAGACCAGACGCACACATAGCTCATGACACGTGTCATCCCCAAGACCAACCATTTGGTGTTTCTCAGGTTACCAAACCTGCAACAGCGTTACCGAGGGTCACATGCACAGGTTGCTACTTCCGATACACAGAGCCCGTGCGGCGGCAACTATGTAACAAGGCGATGGGTTTATCTATTACGGTGAAATGAGGTTCGACAGCTACAAGACCAGCGGCATTTCTCGTCAAGTGTATCACTAGAGAGACCGCGAGAAGAGTACGATTTATGGACATTTATCGAAACATATGATGTCGTCACAGAACAGAACATTTGGTAGCCACGGACACTCCAACCTTTTGGAAGGTCGTGACACCGAAACCCGCAAGACCTTTCGATGCTGACTGTGAGTCCGTCACGATTGCACGCTGGGTGCAGTTGCGTGTACCGGCGCCGAGGTGGGCGTAATGTCACCAATGTGGGCCACAGCACACCGTGGTGCTGACAGAAACGGATGTTGCAGGTACTGTGTCACCTTTTATGGAGTTCAAACTGACATGGCAGGATTTCAGACCACATACGGCTTTTTACAACCACCCTTGGCACAATAAGGCTTGAAACGCTCCCGTTCCTGAGGCTGATCGCAATTCGCATACCTTACTGTTCGATACCGGTCTGAGTAAAAGAGAAAAGTTTCACGTGATCAAGGCTGAGAAGTGCGCACAAAATTTATTTATAGGTAGGGGTAATGATGGGTACGAACACTTGTAGTTGCGTGTACAGGTAAGTGAATGAAGATTTGCGACGCAAATGCTTAGGTAGGAAGAACTGAGCCTGAAGTTTTTAGATGCGAAAATGAGACGACGAAATACAACGCGGGGCTTTCTCCGGACATTCTGGCCTCTCAGGCCTCAGTAGTCTCAAAAGTGGTAACCTATCGTCAAACCATAAAACTACTAGTACTCATTTCGGAAAGAGGTGTCAGCCCCATCGCCAATCAAGAGACCCAAGACCTTGTTCGCAGCGAGGGGCTGTCACCAGTGTTACGGGACATGGCGGGGGTGCCAATTTTTGTTAAATATTGGAGGGCCGAACCGAAGGCCCGACAGTCTATCCCCCATTATTTCTCACCTGAGTTAGCTCATTTTATTTGGATAAATTGCAATATATGTTTTTAATGTTAGTATAAGTTATAAAAGTATTCAATCAAGCAGTACAAAAGCCGTGCAGGGTTGGATACAGGGAGCAGGCACTGGACGCACGCGCCTCTTCTGATCGGCACGTGAAGGCGGGCCTTCACGTGCCGCCTTCACGAGGGCGCCTTTAGAGGCCACCCGAGGGCGCCGATGGCGTCCTTCTATGGCGGTCATGGGAGGCGGCACGCGTTTTGGTTGTGGGGGACGAGGACAGGGTTAGCCGTGAAGGACTTAGGTCATCCCCATATTCAAGAGCTCTCCACTTTAACCTCACAAGCCATGCTGTGTCTTATCACGCTAGGTATGTGGAGTTTATTGCGTCGTTTATCGGCTCAGCTGTTACGACTCGTATCTTGTGATGAGAGCAACCGTGACTTTGATAGGAGCGTGGTACGAGACACCACTACGCAGGAAGCACAAACAAGATAGTCTTTGTGTTTTAATCATCTGTTACCCACATTTTTTGGTGGTATTCCAGCCAAAAACTTTGGGAAGGGTGGCAAGCCAACATTGGGGACGGGGGCCATCTCAACATTGGGGGGGGGGGGGGGGGGGCGGACAGGAACCACACAAAAAAAAAACAAATCGACACCCGTGGGCCATAGAGAAGCCTCTTGCCGGCAACAGCGTAAGGTGACGCCACTGGGGGGATGCCACTGGAATTCACATAACATCAAAAATACAGCGACCATTTACAAAAGATTGGCAAGTGGGGGTTGACCAATTAAGCCAGGCTAGGCCGTGACTATAGTGTTCTTAAATGTTATTCGCCTGCCGTTTCTAGCAATGCACTGCCAACGATGATGCCAATGATTTAATCTAGCCTATCTAGTCTGGAGGGGAGACGCGCCCCCTGATCTGCCGCCGTTGGGATGCGGTGCCCGGGCCTGCCGATGCTATGGGTGTGTGTATGTGGAGGGGGGGGGACGAGAACGCGGAGTCCGGGTCCGCTGTTGTTGGAGGAGGGTTGGGGGGGGGACGGGGGAGACAAGAACGCGGAGCCCGACTCCGCTCCTGTTGGAGGGCTGGGTAGGGGGGAGACGAGAACGCAGAGCCCGGGTCTGCCGCTGGTCCAGGAGGATGGGGCGCCTGGATGCGGGGATGGGTCTGTGGTTGTTAGAGGACAGTGCAGCACCCGGGTCTGCTGTCTGCCACATGGGTATGCCGTTGCTGGAGAAGGATGCAGCACCCGAGTCTCCCGATATTTACCCTGGAGGACAGCAGGGTGTTAGGGCATTTTTCTGTCTGCTATCCGGTTATGAGAGTGCGTCACCTGGGTCTGCCGCTGCTGGAGACGGGGGACACGGCACCCAAGTTCTCCCTCTGGATCGCAAGTCACCACCGATCACCGGACCTGCCATGCTGCTCAGATAAGTCCGAGCTTGCCGTGCTTGTCGGAGGAGCCTGTTGCCTGGTCATGCCTGCGCTGCTCACGGCCGCCGCCAGCCCGCGACCTCCACGGCCGACCGGGTGACCGCACCTAACCTGAGGCAGAGGGTGGATCAACCCGGCTGACTTGTGCGCACAATCTGATGAAGCCTGCGTTGCAAAATTATCGACTTACAACAAGCGCACTTCGCATCACCACCGAGTAGGAAATGGGCTTGGGTGATGGCGTCATAGTTAAGGAATGGGGTTATCCTAAAGTGAAGAATGAACTTTCATTGGCTTATGAAGGACGGGGCTCAGATTTCTGGTTCTCTAGCGTCCTCTGCACGCAATGCGTTGGCGGAACTCCATCGCACTTTGACCACGAACCCATTTTGACCTGCTCGGCCCATTTCTCAAGCCTGAAGCGCTTAGGTGCTGGGTTGACCGCCACCCAGTTTGGTGCCGATTGGCCGATTTTGAGCTGGGGTTGGCGCAACAACCAACAGTGAACCCAAGCGGGGTTACACAGCATGAGCAAATATTGACATCCCTGCCACCCAGGTGGCCGAATATTGAAACACTGCGTGGAGCTGCGCAGCACTTCACACTCGCAAATGATCCCTTGCCCGCCCAACAGTACGGCTACTGGTTACAGTCGGCCGGGTCAGCACACCGCGGGCGTCCGCTGACGTGTGGCAGCCGGGGGTGGACGCACGCGACCAGACCGCAGCAGACCTCCGGCCCGGTCTCAGTCGCGTGATGGGACGCCGGCACCAGCTCGCTCAGGCGACCCCCTCACGCACTGGACCGCACGCCCTCGTGCGGGACCCCAACACAGCATCTGCGGGACCGATCGAGATGGGGGGAGGGGAGGGGGACGCACGGGCGTCACAAAGAGGTGAGACCTCCTGGGACGCCAGTCCAGTAGGCACATAAGCTTGTGCAGCCGTCGGCAGCTCCGGCCCATAAGATATGGTCGCTCATGACAGTCTCGCAGAGTGGTGGCAGCGGTCAAGGCAGCGGCTGCCTCATCTCCTCATCAGCCGCTGTGCTGATGGCACAATTAACGGAAGCAGCAGCCGCCACGACGACGGCCGTGATGGCACTGAATGCACGATCCACATGCGTCATACAGCATGAAATCACGCTGCGTCCGAAACAGAAATGCTGCGTCTATCAAAATCTGGGTATAGCCCAAAGCACCCGGCAGTCGAGATTTCAGCCGTTCATTCGAGGCCAGCTGTGGGTCGCCGACAAAATGATCCAGTGACCTCACCCAGCAGCTTGCATAGAGTGAGCAAACAGCTTCATGACTTTACCTCGCATAAAGGACCCTGCTGCAGACAGCCTGCCGCGCTCTACACCCCCCTCCCTTTTCCACCCAATCGATGACAAGTTTAATGAAAAAAACTGGACTCGTGCGGAATGATTATGTCTTTGGGTACAAGTCTGGCAGTGGCATCAATTTCAAGTCGATTCCATACAGCTGTACGTCCCCTCAAAGGTTTGGTGCTGAGCGCACCGACAACTGACGACCTCACATCGCACAAATCGCGATTGGAGAACAAGTCGAACAA